TGTCATTCCTTCATTTTTGCCACCGGGTGTCACGAAAAACATGCTGTGAGCTGTTACAGTCCGTGTTTTTCAAGGTGAATACTGTGGGCCTAACCGAGGCAACTCTCTATTCCTCTAGTGAGAACCAGAATTTGCTAAAAATGTAAAGTGTGCAGAATATGAGGTGGACAGGTAAAAATGCCGTGGGTCTGTTTCTGATGTGGTGAAGGATAAAATAGGCACACAGCAGTAAATACCGTTCCTGAAAAGTGGCTATTGTTGAAGCCAAACTCATCAAGATAATTAGAAATCTTCTGGCAATAAGCAAAACGTATGAATTTATGAACAGGATTATATTACATTATAAGCCAGCAGAAGATCCTGAGAGAGACACATAAAATCTCAGAATATAGAGGTATCCCGTGGCAGGATCCAGCAAACACCACCTTAGGGACACTTATTCCAGTATTTCTCTCAGGAATGCAACCCTGGGTTCAGTCTCTGCGTGTGGGAATCCCAAAGCCATCGGGCTGCTCTCCTGTGATGGAAGTCGAAGGCAAACGTCCGTCTGCCCAGCCAATGTTAATTTTCACAGAGCCTCGGGCAGCAGCCTAAGGAGGATTTATTACTCTTCATTTTCTCTATCAAGAGCTGAACTATGCATGAAGGTGTGACTGGGGCAAGAGAGGGGAAGAAGGCTCATGTTAGCAGAAGACGTTGAAGAAAGTTGTAACAATGCCACCATCTTCTTCCCTGTAGACTAATATGCCTCTAATATACCAACTAATACACCTCTCCAGACCTGACTTTAAATGTCCAGTTTGCCAGCTGGACTGACAGTAAGAGGTATTTTGGTCACCTTAGCCCTGCCGTTCTCATCATAAATCGCAAACTTTTAGAAGCCTTCAGAAATACAGCATTCTCCCAACTCATTTTAGAGAGATTTTTCCCTGTTTTCTGTGAGTCCTTAGAACATTGTAACCATTGGAGGTCTTTGTTTTTCATGGGTCAGTAAATAAGCCAGACTTAGGCTGTTGCTGTGGTTTCAGGTCTTATGGACCAGCTACCCCAAAAGCAATTCTGCCCTCGTGTTCCACTGCATTCTCATCACTGTCCATGTAAACTGCTCGAACTTCTCATCAACCAGCTCAGTGACTAATAAAAAGGTTGAAATAAAAATATGGGCTTTTCTCCTCCACTGGAAACACAGGAAAGGGGCAAGTCTATCAATTCAGAATCAACAGAAAAAAACATCTCTGCCGTGTCCTGTTGGCTAACAGGACTGGTGTCCTTCTGACTCCTGAAACAGGCTGTGCATTCTGTTACAGAAACACATCCCTGGTGCCTGCCCCAAGCCCCAACCATCCATGTGATTTGGAACAAACTGTAATGTTTCCATATCTGGCCTCATTTGTCCCAAATTTCCAGGTGTGGTATCTGATACTTGCACAATGGATAAAGTGTACACACCATGATTCATTTGTCTCTTCAGTCAGTCTAGTGAGGACTGCATTAGGTAGGAAACCACGAGTTTTGGAGGGTGAGGTTAGTGCAAGAGAGGTAGTGCAAGACCGTACTAATGCCATCTTCTCTGTGGACCTAAATAATAACCTTTCTGGATTTGACTTTTAGAATTTTTACATCTCAACTACTACCATATAAATCATGTATCTGCAAAATACGGTGATGATTATTTTTGCTTTTGAAAACAATCCTGTGTATGAGTTTCATTATTCCTTTGATCAACAAAGCTTTGTTTGGTACACAAAAAGAAAAGCAACTGCTCTGCGTAACATTAACCAGCATTAACATACAAGAGAGAACTCACCGTACTTCACACAGACATACCAGAACAAAACCAATTAAAAATATACAATTTCACTCCTAAAATTATTTTTTCCATGAAGAATAATTTTGGTAAAGTTATGAAAACTTGACATGCTATCTTTTCACATCTCTTCTGAAGACAAACATGATATTGCAAAGGCTTCTCTGAAGATTTCCACCATACCAAAATCAAAGTAAGACTTATAAGAAATCCAGGATGAGGAAAGTAAAAGAAAAAGACTTGGTTTTTTTGCTCTTTTTCTGGAAGTTAAAATCATCTAATTTCTTCTCTGTCTTTGGATGAGGATCATATTTCAGAGTTATTACTCACTCCTAATCTCCAACAAGATGAGCTCTATCCATGAGTACTTAATAGTGGCAGCTTGCCAAAAAAACCTGTCCTTCAGCCGGCACTGTCTCCAGAACATAAAATCTGTGTTCATGCCAAACAGGGAAGAGCGTACATTTTCTCCTGTTTCTCAGCTTGACTTTGAGACTACCTAAAGCAGCCTCTTTCACTGGCTGTTTATATCCATGCCAGACGTGAGCAGGCAGTAGGAATAACAGGATTCTCGTTCCTGTCTGTGCGATTCCAAGAAGAGATGTGCAGCTAGAGGTGCTGTAAATAAGAACTCCTATCTTGGGCTATAAGAAAACGTAAGGGGTCGTTTCTTTCATATGATTTTGGTAGTGGAATAAAGAAAAGCATAGTTAGCCGTGTAATACCTTGACATTTTAACTTTACAATGTTTGTAAACCAGTTAATATGTTAGTCCTGGCGTTAAAAAACAGGAGCGAGTTCAGACGGGTTGATTATACGTGTGAAGCTAATGGTTGGCACTGTCAAGAAACAAGTGTAATGTTAAAGGTAATATTTATTCTGGACAATACAACTGGCACATATATCTTACGGATACATATGTAAATTAGATGGGTTTTTGGTAGAAGGTAAGGTTTAATTAGAGGAAGGCTATTTTCATAAGATGAAGTCTTTCTTATCTAACACTTGTTCTTGTCAAGCCAGAGGGATTGTATGGCAGTTGTTGGAGTTTTCATCTGTGAAAGTGTCTCCTTGGATATTAGTTTCTGAAAGAGATGAACCTAATTAGAGGTGTTCAGCTGAGCTCCCTAAGCTCGCTGTCTATCCTGGCTGATCAGCTGTGGCAGCTTTAGAATACCCGTCTTCTCTCCTGGGACTGGACTGACAAGGCATGGCTGCTTGGCTTTGTCACTGAAATCTTTTGACCTGTAAGCATTGCTCGTGCTGCCTTTCCCTGACTTTCTCTGAGGCATTTGGATTAATCAGGGGAGAGGCTTATACTGCATGTGTGCTGATGGGCCCAGGGAGGTTTGAATGAAAGATAGTAAAGGGTGCTTTAAAACCAAAGAATTCCTCTCAAACCAACAATGGGAGGTATTACTGGATATGTCAGAGTACGCCAATTTTTGATACTCATAGAAACATACAATAGTTTGGGTTGGAAGGGACCTTTAAAGGTCATCTAGTCCAACCCCCCTGCAGTGAGCAGGGACACCACTAACTAGACCAGGTTGCTCAGAGCCCCGTCCAGCCTGGCCTTGAATGTTTCCAGGGATGGGGCCTCCAGCACCTCTCTGGGCAACCTGTGCCAGTGTTTCACCACTGTAAACAATTTCTTCCTTATATCTAATCTAAATCTACCCTCTTTCAGCTTGAAGCCATTACTCCTTATCCTATCGCTCCATGCCCTTGTAAAAAGTCCCTCTCCAGCTTAATTGCAGGCCCCTTCAGGTCCTGGAAGGCTGCAGTAAGGTCTCCCCACAGCCTTCTCTTCTCCAGGCTGAACAGCCCCAACTCTCTCATCCTGTCACTCACCGTATTCACCAACCTCCCTGTCTCCGTTCCCAGAACTGAACTGTTATTTGAGGAAGTCATCTTTTTATTTGCTGAGGTCTAGACAGAACATTATGTCGCTTGATAAGACGTTTGACTTAGCTCCCCACAACAGAAACCATTCAAAAAGATATAGCAGCAACCGGTCACTCAATATTCATTTATATTTAAAACAAAAAAAGAAATACGAGCACCTTTTCTTGACTTTAGTAATGTTTATTGAGGAACTATGCTGTAAGTCATAAACGTAATACCTGAAAGTTTAATTTTCATGGAAAAGTTACTCAAAAACTTCCCAAGGTGAAACCAAGTGGAGAAGTAATTTAAATTTCTAAGAAGGCAATGCTCGTAAATATTTGTGTCAGAATTAACAGAAAAAGGGGTTTACTGATAATTTTGTACACGATTTTGCAGTGCATCAGGGTTTTTTTACCTTTTTTTACCATTATTTCTAACCTTTCATTTGGTTTTGCCTGTAGCATTTCAGTCATACACACCTGTGAGGTCAACAGGTACCGCGATCATCTTTGAACACAAGATTAAGGACAACGAAAGCAGAGAGACTGCACGCTCGCCACACAGAGCTGCTGAGCTGGGCTGGCGTGCGGGTGCTGCGCCAGAAGCTGGGGCGTCCCTCACAGCTGCTGGGCTCCTGTCCCGCAGGACCCGCAGCCTCAGGGGGAAGGCCCGCAGTATGAGAACGCAATGGTTACGGACAGCTTCTCCTTCACAGGCACAGCCGGAGTCGGGGTTTCTACGGCTCTTCCAACCACCCAGACTAGCC